ATTCTAGAACACTTCTCTGAAGAGCTGAAAAGTCTCTGCATGGAAAATTTTAGTCAATGGTTTTATCATATGCAATTAGGTGACTGATAAGAGCTTGCTAAAGTTATCCTTTGAGAGCCCCTGCCCCCCCTTCCTTTTACCTCGTAGGGAAAAGTTGACAGAATAATTCAGGTTCTACCTAAATAGTCAGACCTTTGAAGAACTGACCCTTATTGTGTTTGCCTGCAGGAGGTGATTCACTATTATAAATTCTTCAATGACTGAGCTTCTGGAAATCTCTTTAAATGAAAGTGGAACTGGTTAACTGTATGTACGAACATGTGTTTTCACAGTCTCTCCTGTATTACTGCATCTCAGAAAGCTTCTATAAAGTGCCAGGTGAAGTAGTAGTAGTAGTCGTAGTCGTAGTAGTAGTAATAATAATAACAATAATAATAATAGAAAGTCGGAAAAATATGATCAAATCTCAGCTATTCAATTCCTGGGTTTATGCTGAAAACTAGGAACAGATGGTACTTTCCACGTTACTTGAATCTGGTTATTGAACACCTCTATGCTTACAGGAGATTTTGCTTAGCACTTTTAACATACATTTCATTTATTGGACTATAAAATGCTACTTTGGAAAAACAAGTCTTTATATAGCTATAATTAAAACAGTCTTGCAGGAAAGCCCTCTAACATGGAGAACATGGTTAACCTCATGACATCTGGACAATCAATCCCTTCCTTTTTACTGGGTATTTATGAAGTTATTAAAATTGTAAAATTACCAATGCCGAAAGTGAAACATTTTTCCAGTAGTTCCAAGTAAGGTTATCAGCGTCCCTACTTTATTTTATAAATGTTCTAGACCAGCCTCCATTGTGCTACGCTAACTCTTGCTCTGCACAGGAATTGAACAGCAGATCTGGTCATACATATTGGCAGAGGTCAGCAGGTTCACACAGAAAGCTTTCCTCGGCCAAAGGGCAACACCTCTTCACCCAGCTCAAAAAGCACCGTCACACTACTAGACAGCACTACAGAACTTTAAGAACCTTGAGCTGTGCTTATTGTTAGACACCCATAGTTATCAATGTTTTTAACAGCTAAATCCCCTATGTAGCTTTCAAAACAGTTTGCTGTCAAACAACAATAGACTTTGTTCTTTAATTACAGCGAGTGACCTCCCTGCCCTTTTATTTCACAGTGAATAAACTACACACAAGGCCGGCAAGAAAAGTACATGAAAAGCATATCTCCATAACATCATCAATCAAAGCATGTACTTAAATGATTTACATCAATAGGTAAAATGCACACGGTTTCCTGATGAAGTGTAAAACACTCTCAATCCCGCTATTAAAAAAAACAAAACAGTGAAGATAAAATAAACAATACCAGCCAACATGTTAATTTGCCGAAGACAACTTTCAGATGTGAAATGCAGTCTTAATGAGAAGCAATAAGCTAATACAAGAGAAAAACTCAATCCTGGAGTATCACTAGACTGATTCATTTAAAAACCTGCAACTAGACACCTCTGATTATGGCTTTGTATCTTCTGTACTATTGTGACGTAAACATACTGATTTTCACATGCCAGATAGAATTTTCCCGTATCTCAAATTCTGAGTGTTTGAATCCCCAAATCTCCCTGCAACACACACAAAGCAAATTCTTGTAGACACTGACCACTCTTCAGTGTAACAGCTGTTAAAAATACAAAAAACTTGGCTGAAACAGATGAAGAGTTCATGCTGACAATCAGTCAGTAACTGTGCTAAAAACAGTATGGATGAGAAATGGAAAATGGAGACAGGTTTTAACACCAAAAATCTTAGCAGTGGTTAGCCTACCTGTCAAAGCTACTTATTCAGACATGTCACTGGTGGCTTAACCACAAAATGGGCTGCACAAATATAGCTCAAACATCTTAGAATTACAGCATACTTTGACTTTATCCACATATTAGGGGAGTGGCAACTTTTACAACGTACTTGCGGTTTCCGCATAAAAGAGCCAGCAGAACACAGTCATTGATTTAATTAGGCTTCATAAGATCCAATTTATCATGTTCTACATGACTTTCTGCAGCAAGGAAACAGAATAAATAGACCAAAAATAGACACTGAAGCATGCTGTGAAAGCTGAATAGTAACTACAACTCCTGGGAATCTGCTCCAAGTTTTTCACAAATAGTAAACAAATGCAGTATTATATACCACACCACTTACAGAAACCTATAGATTTTGAATCGGCAGGCATGAACTCCTTTGTATCTAAGAGGAAACATCCAAATTCATGAGACGTCTTTCACAACACTAAGATAACTGGAAATTGATTTTAACATGCAGGCTTGAAAATTACATATTTATCTATAGACACAAGGTGCTTTGTGCATGTACAGCATACATGTTCTAGTGTATAAGCAGCCAAAGCGAGAACACTTAAGGAATCTAAAACCCTTAAAATATATATAGATTTCTAATTATTATTAAACATTTGGTAAGAAAGCCAGAACACTTAAGTTTCGCTAACAGTGCCACAGGCTGGGCTTAAAGAGCTTTATTATTATTGTACGTCTAGAAGTGAACATTCTTTGGGAAGAGAAACACTAAGGGATGTTATTTAAGACAGCAAGCAAGCACACCATTGTCCCAGACAATGGCCAACGCTGCACGACTCTAATGTGCGAAGCCTGTATTAAAGTCGGTGTGTTCCAAAAGCAGTCAGTGGCTGCTACTGGAAATGCAAGCTCCAAACCTCCTCCTGGAGCAACAACTACAACACGAAGTGTACCACTGGCTCTGAGCCGCTCCATACATGTTTGCTCTGAATTTGCATGCCATCCAATGTACACTGCACGTCACATTACTCCCATGTATATGGATTCTTCATACAATTTCCTGTGTGACTAGAGAGTGAAAAGAACACAAAAACGGAAGAAACCACACCACCCTCTAATCTCTGTTGCCATGACAGCAGCCTTTGAGATACTGAAATGTTCAGATTGCCAGCTAAACAAAATTGTTGAATGTGAACATTTGGCTGAGAGATTAAAAGGCTAAGGGGGTTGCAAAAGGGCAGTACCTCCCACATTCCAGGCAGCCACTGAATCCAATCAAATGGTTCTGACTCTTTAACCACAGCCATTGTGAAGACCGGATTAGGGCAATTTATCTAGATAGTTAAAACAGATTAGAGAACTGCAATTTGAGGACTATTGGCAACAGAAGTAAATGCCTACTGTACTAAGTTAATAAAGAGACTGTGAGATTTTAGGACACCTTTCCGCCGGGAACAGAACTTCCATAAATCAAAGCCCAAACATATACACATGAATTACAGCAATCTGGTTTTCTCATCTGCATTTAGAAAAGGTCACAAGGCTCATTCAAATTCATCCATAGATATGCTACCTTAAAAGCAATATTATGCGTACAATATGAAATTTAATTTGTTCCTTGCCTTGAACAGAAGCCTTTGAAATTGTCTTCCAGTTTTAACAAATATCTGATGTCACAAACACACAAATCTAATCCTCCAGTCAAATATGATTACAAAAACTTCAACATGACCGAAATACAGAACAGCCACTAATGGGGCGTAAAAAGACATAACTTTTCCCTGAGACCTTCAGCCCTCCCAGACACTTGCAGACTGTACAGTTAACACCGACCCGAAAGTTTTCCCATCTCTGAACATGCGCTCAGGGAAGCTGTAAAATCAGGTAATTTAACACCAACAGCTGACAATAAAGCCACAATCTAACACCCTAAGATTGTTCATTCAGGGGGTGTTGGTTTATTTTTTTCAGGCAGACCAGCTTATCTTTAACAACCTGTAGAATTCATCGGACTCGTAATCCTGGGCCAACGCTTGCCCCCAGGTCCCCCAGAAGATGCCTTCTGCCCTACGGACAGAACAATTCCCGCCGACACCAGAACCTCCTTGAACCAGTGGTTAACAAAAGCCAAGCTCTGCCCCTGCCCTTCCCGAAGTGTAGAGTCGTGGCCATCTATTCTTACAGAAAACATCCTTCGTAAGGTAATGGAAAGGAGGAAAAACACCCCATCCCCCCGCTCCCCCCATCTGATTTCTTTCATACATTTCAACCACTCAACAAACGAGCAGTTCACATCCAAGAGCAGCGGGGCTCAGACAGGAGAGCTCTCCCAGGAAGGAGACAAACCGCTCCCCTCTGTTCCACAAGCTGTTTTAGACACACACATCTCAGCACAAGGTGCACTCCCCTCCTCCCAGCCTCCTCCTTCCAGGAAGAGGGGAGGCACCGCCTGTCTGCCGGCTCCTTCCTCCCTCTCCTCCACCCACACCAGCTTCTGGGGGCCTCTGGGCAGGAGCCCCCACTATGAAAAGCATCCCGCGTCTCTCCACAAAGCGCAACAGCGGAGCCCAGGTCTCTGCCGATGCCTCCTGTTTCCCCCCCCCCAGTGCAATCTCGACTCCAGACAGCGGGTCAGAGGAGAGGAAGGGAGAGGGGTCCCTTCAGACTTCGGGAGAGGAATGGCCGTGAATGCCCACCGGGGTTGTGGAACAGTGTCAGCACAGGGCGCCTGGAGCCTGAGCTATGCACCCCCCTAGGCAAACGCACAGACCTCCAGCCTGCAAGCACGTGCCATCCCACTGGTACCAACACTGCTGCTCCCTGCTAAAACCAGCGATGGCTCAGTCAGGGTCATCTCGGGGTTCCTCCTTCTGGGTGAGTGTGACCAAAAGGAACAGACAAAACAGGAACGTTCTCCAGGGCTGGGGACAGGGAGGGGAAATCAAAGGCAGAGCAGCGCACTCAAAACATGGTGTCTTCTCTCTAGGGAAGAGGTCTCAGGGTTGTTTTGGTTTGGTTTGGCTTTTTTAAGAGAAAGAGGAAGAACAGATAGATGTCACAAACACATAGCAGAGAGGAGGACGCAGGAGCCAAACACACAGTTGTGGAACATTTATTACAGACACAGGGAGACACAGAAGAGAAGAGGTGGAGAGGAGCTTTGTCCTACCTTTTCTGTTTTCAATTTCTTGATTCGCCTGTGGCTCTCCTCCTCCTCCTCTTCCTTCTTTACCAAAATAGAGTTCCCCATTAACCCTGAATCCGGGGTACTTTTGCTCACCTCCCCCACAGCAGAGGAGGTGCAGTGGAAGGGGCTGCTGCTTCCACCGCCACCTCCCTTGGCCCCGAAGCCATAGAGGTGCCCAGGGGGAGCTTGGCTGCCGCCACCCCCGCTGCCATTGGGGTGGCCCTGCTGGAGGTCATGCTGCTTGTCCTTCCTGGATTTTCCCGCATCCTTATCCCGCTTGGAGCCTCTGCTGCCCGGGGCTTTACCTGGTTTCTCCTCTTTGTTTTTCCCACAAGAGGCAATGGTGGTGGTGTTGCTGGTGGTGTTATTATTGCCGTTTGGGTTACTGCTCACGCTTTGACCCAGTGCTGAATTCATGCCAGTTGCCTCTCCAGGGCGCCCTTGGACTTCCTGCCTCTTGCCAGCACTGCTGATCTCAGGAATCCCATACAAGGCAGCAGAAGGCAGAGATTTATTAGCATCCTTGGAAGTTTTACTCCTTTTCACTTTTGATTTGCTAGTCTCTTTGTGAGAGGAATTCCCCTGGGGAGCAGAGGGCTGAACAGAAGCGAATTTTAGGCCATCAGCTAAGGCTGAGGTAGCATTAGCCCCACTGGAAGCCAGACCCCCGCAATCCTTGGAGCTGGTGTTGCTGCTGCTGGTGGTATTAGTAGAATTATTCATCTCAAATTTCTGTCTGTCCTTCTCCAAATCGGCGTCCAAATCGATTATTAAATTCCCAACACCGATTTCCCAGTCATCGCCACTGTCATAAGTGTCAACCGCGTTTGGATCCACACCTTTTCCTGCAGTGGAAGTGTTCAATGACATCCTGAAGACGAGATCTCTAGAGTAAAAATCCGATGAACTTTCCTTTGGAGATGTGGGGACATTCGTTTATCTCCGTTGGGCTCTCTTAAGTTCAACTCTTCTTGTCTTCCTCCCCCAGGTGTGTCTAGGTTCACAACCCGCAGTCCACGTCCACCTTGTCCTGTGAGGGGAAAAGTCAAATATTTCTTGTCTGGGTGTTACCAGAACATAATACGACTAATAAAAAGGGGGCAAGGTAGGGGGAGCAAAATCATTCACCGTTGCCACGGGTTTTTCTTAAGTTTGTTAAACCGGAGGCAACGGCCGTGATGCTTTTACAGTGAGCATCTTTAATCTAGTTCTACACCAACATCCACAATCTGTCAAAAAGTCATGTTCACAAAAAAAAAAAAAAAAGAAAGAAAGAAAAAATTAACTACATGATTTAAATCCATAAAGCTCAGGAAATACAGTCTTAGAAGTGGTGCCTAGCTGTTGGAGCACATGTTGTAATCTAACCTCTTGGACGACCACCTAGGCACGAAAGGGAGAAAAGGAAGGACACAGATTCACTCTCCACTGCATTCCATGGATTTTGTGGCTTTAAACCAGACCCTTGAAGTTTTGTGACTCTCCTATCTTTTACCCTCCTTCCACTTAATCTCTTGGGGGGGGGGGAGAGGGAGTGCTAAAGGAAGTGGGAAACCTCATTTTCCTTGCCACAATACAGCTTCTGTTAAAAACCAACAACCTACAAACACAAATGTTTACTGGAAAATATTAAACTCCATAGGTTAAAAAAAAGAATTAGAAAAGAAATAAAAAGGTCTTTTTTCTTTAAAAAAAAATTCTCAAGATAACAGTTCTAAAAGCAGTTATAATGTACTCATAGGTCACACAATTGTTAGGTCTGTTAAATATAGTATTACTGACTGTACAGGAAACTGATTAAGACATACACTTTAAGTGATCTGCACCAAGGTGGCCTCAGTGACCGCAAATGAGTGTGTGTTTGACAAAGCTTAGTTAAAACGATTTTTAAAGGGATCTCTCCCTTTTACAGACGACTGTCGAAATACTGATACATATATATGCATAATGCTTACCTTTAATCCTTTATCATTTTTTAATTAAACCAGCAAATCAAAATGCTGTTCCCACACGTCTCAGCAACAACTCTGTGCCTCATTTTACTTAAAGAGCAAGTGATCAAGAAGTAGGAAGCAAGTATCATCTCAGCCAGTACAAATCGGTCAATAACATATCTCCCCCTACTTTGGCACACGGATCAGAAGTCCTTTTTTTGTTTGTTTAGGTTTTTTTCCTCCTTGCTTAAAAAAAAAATAATAATAAAAAAAAAATGCTGAGCCTCACAACTTTACCAGATGGCAGGTAATATTTCATATTCAGAACTGAAGCATCAAGGACCAGATTTTTGTTTGTTTGCTTTTCCTGAATAAGCACCGAGACGTAATAATCATCACAGTAATTAAAAAAAAAAAAATGTTTCCCCAACTTCACACTCCGTCTTCAGCCCCGGACCTGGGAGCCATCCTGATCAGTAAGTAATGATCCCATGAAACAAACCTACAGGCGCCTGGGTGTTACAAGACAGAATGTGCTAACATCGGGATAAATTAGTGAAAGGGAGGAAGGAAAAAAAGAAGAAGAAAGGACTGAAAATCTGGGCTGGATTCCGCCTGTTAGTTGGGAAGTGGCATTTTTTTCGCCCGTCCTGACAGATCTGATTTCTTGAAGTAACTTGAAGGGAAGCGGGGGGGGGGGGGGGGGGGGGGGGGGGGGGGGAGGAAGAGGAGGAGGAACGGGAGGGGGGAATCACTGATCTGATAAACCGGTTATCAAAACATTTTGTGGGAGTGGAGGAAGGACAGCGTGCTCTCAAACGAAGTAAATTTTCCCAGGGATAGCATTTCGGGGAGGGGGGTGTCTGTCCCTGTCTCCCCCGCCTTAAATCAGCGCTTTTTAAAAATAATTAAAAAAGCATAGGCACAGATCAGAGTTTCAAATTGCTTTCTCGGGAAAAAAAAAAAAAAAAGAAAAAGAAAAACCCAGGAGCTTGGGCTAATCAGTCATGCGGTAAGTAATTCAGTAATTAGAGTCCGAGGAGATAAAGCAGACGACCTTTTTTTCAGGACAGATCGCTCCCCCCTTATTGTCTGGGCAAACCTCGCAGCCTACA